ACGGCCGCAAGCTGAGGCACCAAAAGTTCCACAGGAACTTGAGGAAACACTTTTTGACAGTGAGGGTGCCAGAGCCCTGGCACAGGCTGCCCAGGGAGGTTGTGGAGTCTCCTTTGGAGATCTTCCAAACCCGCTTGGATGCAGCCCTGTGCCATGTGCTCTTGGTGACCCTGTGTGAGCAGGGGGGTTGGACTMGATGACCTCTGAGGTCCCTTCCAACCTTCGGCATTCTATGATACCCTAAAGACGGTTTGATTGTTTGCGGAGTGATGTGAAAACGGAGATAGTAAATATTGGGAGAGCAGCAGCCTCTCCCGTCATAGGATCTGGACTGCAAGACAAGTAAGTTCTGCCTAGCAGTAAATGACTGCTTCTAGATGGTCAAAGTATTCCCAGGCCAGAGAAGAAGGCAGGGTTGACACCTAGATGTGTAGGTACGATGCTGTTCGAGTCGGACACCGCTTGTGTTCAGCCAGCCCTTCCCTGTTGGGAAATCGCTTGTTAACTTCCCTGTTCCCAAGCGATCGGTGGCGGCTGCATTGYGAGAGGGACGTGCGGCCTGTTCCGCCTGGCACCTGGTCAGCCATGTCGGAAGGCGCCCGCCTGCCTTTGGTGGCGCTTCTGTAGCGCCTGCCGCCTTTTTTTATCTAACGGGACACATTCCCACCATGGTGTGTGTGCTCGGGATGGGGCTGGTTCCTGGAGGATGCCGTGGGCGGGCGAGCGTTCAGCTTGCAGCGTCCTAGGGATCCTTGGGGAGAATGGAGGTGGAGGAAGGAGAACTCTAACATGTCACAGAGCTGCTGTGGGGATGTAGTTGCTCATAATAGTCTTGTTCTGTTTTTAGAGGCAGTTGGAACAGGTGAGCCAGGTGCCTTGATTTGCTCCTCCAAATTGGTTTTCTTAGCTGCAACCCCGCGTGTTTATTAGCTAGCCTGAGTTCGAGTGCTTCTGCTTATGTGTGTCTGCTCTTACAACATGCATCTGTGAGTAACGCTGTGCAGAATGACCGTTTGTTTTTCCCTCACTTTTCCCATACAAATATGCCGATTAAAAAGTTGGGCCAAAAATCTGCTCCTGATTCGGACACCACCTGTTCCAGTATTACAGAAAGGTCAAAACAGATTTTCAGCAGCAGAGCAGCAGAAAGCATAAAGGAAGGTTTATTCCCATGAAGTAAGGCTTATTCAGAAGATAAAGAATGGGATCTGTTATAATTTGAGTATAATCTGGATTATTTAAGGAATAACAGTGATATTAAACTGGGTAAGCRGATAGATAAGAGCAGTGAGGCAATTAAGGAGGGGAAAAAATCCACCCTTTATCTTAGTTGAAGATGAACTTGTTGATGTGTGTGTGAAAAAAAGAGAAGCTTAACCAAACTGGCAGTAGAAAGATGGCAAGTTGGGAAGCCTGGCTTCTGTTCATTCTCACTGTACCTTTCTTACTCCAGGCAAGTTATTTAATTTTTTTTGTTTGTTTGTTTGTATTTGGGGTGTGGAAACAGCAACTTGGTTTTATTTTGCTTTTATCCATGAAATAAAAGTATATTTGCCTAAATATGTCAACAAACAGTTGTAAGAATTTGTGAATGTCTGCATTTTTAGTGAAGAAGTTCATGGAAGCAAGTTGGAGCAGGAGTTGTTGTTAAAGTGTTTGTGTTTTTTCTTTTTTAACTACTTTTAAGAGCTTTTAGAACCAATATTTTTCAAGTTTGAATCTGTGAACTCTMGGTGTGCTACTAGCCTCTGGTTAGTAGTGTCCTATCGCCAGGCATCTAAAATAACACAAGCATTTTGTGAAGCACGGGCTTGGAAATTCCAGTTTTCATGAGATTCATCTTTTACCTTCAACAACTGAATTCCCCTCCAAGTGCTGACCGGCCAGTCACTCAAAGCTGTATGYGCAGTTAAGCACAGGCCTAACTTTGGATGTGCTCAGCTAGGGACAACATGCCTGGTGCCAGGCATGACACAGGGCTCCAGCAGTGCACTGCTCCAGAAGAACTTAGAGCAAGGGAGAATCTCTACAGACAAGTTTAAATAATATGAATGTAGCACAAGTATGACCAAAAAAAAAAAAAAAAAGACGAAAATCCTGGTGAGCCTGTACATACTATAAGTCTTCATTCTCATTTCCTAGCAAAGGCATCAAAATTGAAGGTTTAGTATCATGTGGCTAACTAGTCAGCATTTATAACAGCTTTTAGTAGCACAGATTGTCTGGTAGAAGAAACTAATAAATCTCTAAATTATTATTGGAAGTATAACAGCTATCAATGAATGCTAAAATAGTGTATGTGAGTGCATTAATAAAAAAGCATAAATCTTAGATGCCTTAGTTCCCAAGAATTAATATGAATTGTGAATGCCATAGTTGTCAATAACTGTGTTCATAGCATCTCTAAATGAAGACTCAGCTGGACAGCATTGCACTATGTCACATCCTAAGGTTGTGTGTGGCAGTTACATTAGCTCCCTTGTGATCTTTTTCCCTTTTTCCTTTTTTCTTTTTTTTTTTTCTTTTTTTTTAATATGGGAGCAAAGAGTTGTGTGTGACCTTGTAAACTTCTTCTATTTGGAGCATAAGTGGTTAGATAGTGTTCCCAAACTGGGCATTACTGACCGCTCTGTGATGCATGTGACGATGTGAGGGGRAAGAGGGGAACCCTGAATGTGGGGGTTGCTGACAGAAATGCTAAGCCATGTCCTCAGGAGCCAGCCTGTCCTCCGGTCCCAAGTACAACTGCCACATGCTGGTGTGGTACCACTGATAAGCTGTTCTAGGCTGAAGAAGATAATCTTGACTCCTGTGAGGAAAACAAAACAGTTCTAAACACCGCAAGAAGCCTGTTTTCTGCAAAGTGGTATATTGTGCTGTGAACTTGGCTTGTTCCATGTGAGTCATTTTGCTTCCATGGAGGAAAAAAATCCCTTTTTTCCCTTTAAAACTGAGTCTGACTAAGAGTACAGGTCCACAAAAACTAGCCTTAGTGGTGAAGCAGGCTGTAGTAATTCCTGCTGGCTTTTTATTCTGCCTGTTGACAATAATTCATTGCCCCTTCATTTTTGCTGGTGCAAATCACTGCTCTGCAAACTGGATCACCGTGTTTCACTGACRGAATATTTTCTTTCCCCTCACACTTTTTTTTTCTCCCTGAAGGCTGTGGTTTTACARAGATATCCTGATATCCTGATCTAGGACTAGGAAAACATAGCTGGAGTGGAGGAAGGTGTGGAAATTTCTAATGTTCCTTTTGCTGACAATGTTTGCATGTTATAGAACTGCACCCCAAAACAAAAGTTTAAGRAATGTAGAAACACTAGAAGATAAACCATGAAAGGGAATTGCTTCCGGGCTGGAAAGTAGAGTATCCTTGCTTGTTCATTTTTCTCTTTTTTTATCAATTTAAAGGTGCTTATCTGTGTAAGTACCTTCTTCGAGTTCTGGTGTGTGTGGTGGAATTTTATAGCAAGCTGTGCAAGCCTGGTTTGGAAGAAGACAGTAATATGGACATATATTTTGTTTCGAATACAGAGRAAAAGCAGCCAAGTGATAAAATGTTTAGGAAAAAAATATAACACGRAGGAAAGAATATATGAATATGTTACATATTTTATTGTTATATATCTATATATATAAATATTGTAATTGTATTTATATATATGTGAATATATGTTATATATAAAATATAACATGAAGCAAAAGAGAAAGTGATGCGAAAATGGGGAATTAAAGATCATACATGCAACACTTAACAAAAACAAAGATCTTGAGTTCTCCAGGCCGGATCCATAAGGAGGGACATTCGGAAGCCAAGAGAAAAGTCTTGTGGATATCRACCCTGTATATATGCATATATAAAGGACCAGGAAATACTATGCAGTTGATGAGAGAGTGGTGGTGAGAAGAGAGTCTTTTCTCACAGAGAAGAGACTGTGAAGTCTCTTCCAAAAAGCACCTATCTGCAGCAAAAGGAATTAGTAGGATAGGAAGTTTTAATTGATGTTACATCTTAAAGGCAGCAAAAATGTGTTTCAGAGTACAGTGAGAGARATTACTTGTGGTCATCTCTCAGGAAGTGGTTTTGAGCTTGGAGATCTGTAAAAGAAAGGGAGGACAATCTGTTTTCTGTTGCAATGCATCTAAGAAGATCTAAAAGATCTTAAAACTTCAATTGCAGAAGTGTTTATGATGTTCTCATTTTTGTTTAGAGAATCTTGAATATGAGTAGCTGAAGGGGGAACTAATATTTAGTCAGACTGTTCTTAGTATTTTTTTATGTATATCAATGTGTATTTAACGCAAGTGCCTAATGCACCTTTGATATAAAACCTTGCTTTTCAAAAGATGTGCTGAGACATGCTTATCTCTGCACGTATGTGGCTTTCCTCAGTAGCAGCAGTAGTACCAATCCATGTCTAAACCCTTTCTCCAAATCTGGACAGAATATCACTAAAATAAAAATAGTAATAACGTTTTTTCCAGCTTTCAGATCATCTCTTCCTACAAACAGTGCAGTAAGGGCTAGTGTTTTTATAAATAAAAAAGTAAAAGTTTAAAACTAAATAAAGACTTTTTTAAGGTAATCATATCACTTCATTGGAACATAGCATTTCAGACAACATATATTGGCATGACTTTTTTTCAGCTTGCGGTAAACAATGCAGAAAGTGAGGATTAATAMCCTCTACCATTTTTCTTAATTTGATCCTGCTTTTCAGTTGTATGTAACATAAAGGTTCTGGTTAAACTGTTCTCTGCTCACTGTACTTCAGGATAACTTTTAAGAACTGGGAAAAAAAATGGTTCCCTTTATTCCRAAGTTGGACTCTGGAGGGGGGAAAAAAAAAAGTCCAGGGTAGATTGGTTATAGGGAAAAACCAGACTTAGAACCTAAGAGTTTTAATTAGCAGGTGCTGCTTTGGCAATGACAGTCACGGATGGCTGTTATTGCCTTTCTAAATTTTCTTATGCGTTTGTCTGCAAACTYTCTTTAGATGTGTTCAGTGAAATCAGTGAAGATTTATCAAAACCCTTGGCAGAGGTTTGTGGTGAATCCTTCTGCCCTGAGTTCCCTCCGTTTGGTCCCAACCCTCTATGCAAGGACGAGGGTACCCTCCAGCTGCCGGATGCTGCTGTGGCAATGAATGCTGCCCTGGAAGATGCATCAGCTACGCTCTTGTTTTGCCAGCAGAAAATGATGCATATGTGCAGAAAGCTTGATTTTTGTTTATTTAATTTGGTTGCCAGAGGAGCCATGTTGTGCTATGTGCTATTTCTGATTGTTTGAGTTTGAAAACCTCAGTATGACTTGTAGTATTTTGCTTCCATCTTCTGCTTACAGGGCATGGCTTTTTTGGTTGCAATATATGCAGACTGTGGGCTGTGTTTGGAAATCGTGTTCTTCTGCTGTTTAGTGATGCTTTGTGTTTCATTTGAATGATACCGTGTTCGTTCTCAGGAAGAATTGAGTAATGCAAGTCCTCAGTGTTACAAAATGTATCTTTCTTTTTCAGTTTTGAAAACAAAGGAAGTGAAGCCATAAATTCAAAGAGCAATCAGAAGGAAATCACAACTCTTCCAGCACTACTGACGGTATGATTTTTATTAACTATTTATTTGAACTAAAGCATGTGTCATTTGCTTGTGTCATTTTCTTTTCTGCATTTTTCTAGTGTTGGATTTATTTGTGTGGGTTTTTTTTCTTTTTTTTTTTTTTGGAGCAGCACCTAGCTACTGTATTCTAGATTAAGGCCCACATTATATTAGGTATTATTATGTATGCAGAAGAAAACAAACTGCCCTGCCTCCAGATGAAAGAAGTGGTAGTCTAGTGCTAAGTCAATATGTGAGTGTAAGTCAATATGCAGTCAGCAAGCTGAAGAAAGAACCCGTCTATTTTTATTAAATGATAGTTTCAAGCACGGTCCTAAGGAACCAGCTTGCATACACTTCACCAGCCAGGCCTTGTATGAAGTTCTGCTGGTTGCAAAATACAGCGCCATAAGAGAGATCTTTCTGCTGAAACGAGTATAKGTGTTGACTGTTATTCTTCATCAGTGATTCGTGGTAATCATGCTTGTCTTGTCCTCTAAGCATTTTTCTGCAAAAAGCAGTTGCATTTCCATGTAGCTAAGGCTTCATGTGATGTCCTCACGCAAGAAAACTGTGTTTAGATTTAGTCAAAAATTCTAAGGACTTATATTCAGGACAGGGCCTGGCAGTACAGCCTTTTCAAAAATTTGTGGCATCATGTCCTGCATGGAGCCATTTTGGCAATTCATTCCTCGTGCGCTTTTGCTCAGTTATTTATCTCTCTTCCTGGAAGTTGTAGCTTAATGCAGATAATATTGCCAAGTGCCCCTCATTAAGAACTTGAACTAAGTTCACCGAGCTCGTTTGTGGCTGTGGTAGCAGCCTTCTCAGCAGGCTGAATCTGAGATGCCTTTCCCATGTCACACTTGTTAGTTCTGACTGCCAAGTATATGGAGAAATTTGCCCCCTGTGGCTTACGGGGTCTGTCCAGTCAGCTCTGCAGAACCTGGGAGCATTTTGGTTGGTTTTTGCCAGAGGTGGTGCTTTGCAGTTCCTTTTACACAGACCCAGCTTGATCTGATAGGACTATTAGGTCAGGTGCAATTCTGTTTTGAATAAGAATATTCTGCATCAAGGTGAGAACCAGGGCAGTGACACTGGTTTGGAAGCCCAGTCAAGCCAGCCSCCGCAGTCCTGAACTCCTGCAACATAACCCCAAATTCATCCCGGTCATCAAAACTGACAGGCTAATGATGCTGTTGTTCGAGACACATGCAGAAAGGATCCTGATTAACCAGGTGATATTCTACTGTTATAGAAACAACTCTTCTGCGATTTAAAAAAGATCATATTTTTTACATTAGTGAAAAAAAATCTGAAGCAAAYTAACGTTATGAACAAGTTTTTGACTGAAGAAAGAAAATCACTTAGCATACATGCTGAATGCAGGGGACGTGCAAAGGTGATAGGTCTTCTGGAAGAGCTTAAAAGGAAGCATGAAGAGAGTTTGGCTTCGAGGAAGAAGCGGGATGAATAGGTACATTAAAGGGAGCCTAGCAGTTTGTGACCTAAGATCCTTTTTCTTGCATAAAAATTGAATATCATTTGTTTTTTAATAAAAATGCTCAACTTCAAAAGCTTTCCTAATAAATCTAAATTCATTGCAGTCACATTTACGCAGAACTTGTTGTGCTTTTGTAATATTATACTAAAAATTGGTGCCATTATAAATGCTGTGCAATTTTTGTTCCAAGTATCCGACCTGATCTTTGTCTTGCCATTGCAACTTTTTAAAAATTGCTTGGTCTTTATATTCACCATTCTGAAGCCTTGCAACATTCTTTATATTATTTCTGAAGTAATACCTTGTGTTTGTTTATACTTTATACGAAATGTACGCTTTTTAAACTGCATTTAAATGTATTAAGAGCAATTTGTCTAATTTACCTCCCTCTTAATAAAAGCAACATACTGATAGACTTTAGAAGTTTGGTATACACAGTAATGAATACTGGAAGCACTGATGTTTTTATACCTTTTGTAATGAAATTACAAAGAGAGTCAAAAGTGATTCAGAGAAAGTGGTGTTTTTAATTTTTTCACCAGTCAATGAAAATAAAATTTCACCTCCTCCACCACTCTTTTTAAACCTAAACATTTTCCTACTTTAAGTCATACCRTTGAGTGGCAACTAAAAGTTGATGCTGAAAGATGCACAAAATACAGTAAGTTAAAGATCTATCATGTTTCCATATGGGCTTAAGTGCAATRATTTTGGTATATATAATGGTGGTGCCATCAGGAGGCCTGGTGTGAAATAGTGGGGAAGCTGGATGTCTCTTTCTGGCTTACAAGCAAAGGTCAGACACTTATACTTCACTGCCTGGGCAAGCTGAGCTGAGAAATATCCTGAGCTCCTGTAGCTCTTTGYCTCTGCTGAGGACTTCAGCTATCAGTTCTGTACATTATACCCACTTTTTTTTTTCTTTTTTTTTCCCTCTGGTGAAATATTTAGCCCGTCAAGGGAGGAAAACATATTTTAATATTTGTCTTATGAGAGTTGGTCTCTTATATCGATGCTGACATGACATTTTCAGTCGCCATTTGATCACTCTCACAGAAATTGCAGAATTGTATTTGCCATGTCTATTAATTCACTGTCGGAAAGTACACTGTGACCTGCTCCTGTTTGTTTACAGATCTAGTTTTGTTTCTATTTCTTTGAATTAGAGCAGTAAACATGTTTCTTTCTGAGTAAATGCTCCATTAAATGGCATGATTGAGCACATGGCTCTGGCGATGTAAACAGTTTCTGAACTTCATGTTTAGTGTCCTKTTTTAAGTATCTGCATTACATGATGTCCAGTACATATTAGTATATCATTAACTTCACCTTTAGTACAACAAGGACTTTGTTTTTAAAAAGAGTTTTGCAACAGTGTTTCCTCTAAAAATACATATGTACATCTCTAGCAGCATCTGGTAATGCTGCTAAAACTGTGGTTTACAGCTAAAATGTAGATGTAGCTGACCTATGTGCAACAGATACTAATTGAGCTAACACTACTGCTGGAGAATAACTTCTTAATATAGTATTGTAAAAAACCCACACAAAATGTTATTTGAGGTGCTTGTGCTGCAAATCTGCCTAGGCTCCTGCTTTCGTTACCATACTGTAGCTGTAGCAATGATGACTGATGCTTGGGCTGTCTTAAGCAGTAGTGAATAGTTTAGGCCCCAGCTTGCAATGTCTGATTCTTTGCTCAGCTGACCCTTTTGCAGAGATAATGCAGGCAAATCATTTGCTTGCTGATTATCCCTGGATATCCTTCCTGTAACAGTACGTGGAAGAAAAATACAATTATAACTGATTTGGAAAAAGCTCTTGAGCATCCCAGAGCAAGAACTGTAGTCTGAACTCCGTAATGCACGTGTGGAAGTTTGAAAAAGTAGATACAAAATATATATTCAGATTTAAATATTTCAATAAAATAAAATGTTATGTACCATGATCCATATACTCAAGGCTGTGTGCTGATCACCTAGATTAACCAAATAGGGGTATAGTCTCGACCTGTCAATAAAATATAGGGACATAAACTGCTGTGAAAGTTATCTGGTCGTCTTCTTTGCCCCAAGGTGAGATCATTGTATCTATGTCACAGCTGAAAGAAGTTTGTCTAACTTGTTTTTAAGGACCTCCAGGGGTGGAGATCTGGATGATCTCTGCAGCTTCATCAGACAACTGTTCCACCAGCTTCATAATTCTTATAATTAGCAAGTCTTTTTCATAACAACTTATCTCAAAATTCCTTTCACCAAATTAAACTTTTCCTAATTGTCCTCTGACAAGTACTACTGTGTACCTGAATACGGAGAAGATAATATTCTGTAGCCCTACTTTCTCACATGAATTTCATTTCTAGTTAACATAAAAGATGGCTATATTTAATCATAATATTTAAAGACATAATATTCAAATCTGATGAAAGGGAATACAATTATGTGCAAAGATGGAGCTAAATGATACTTCTTGGCGATGTAACAGTAGGATAAGAGGCAATGGATGCCTCTTGGAACGTGAAAAATTCCAGTTTAGCTATAAGGGTTTTTTTATTCTTGCTTTCTTTTTTTCTATAAGGGAGATTAAATATTGAAACAGAATGCCCAAAGAATCACAGGATGGTTGAGGCTGGAAGGGACCTCTAGAGATCATCTAGTCCAACCCCCTGCTCCAGCAGGGACACCCAGAGCACGGGGCACAGGGCGGCATCCAGGCGGGTTTGGAAGATCTCCAGAGAAGGAGACTCMACAGCCTCCCTGGGCAGCCTGTGCCAGSGCTCTGTCACCCTCACAGGGAAGAAGTTCCTCCTCACCTGGAGATGGAACTGCCTGTGTTGCAGCTTGCACCCATTGCCCCTTGTCCTGTCACTGGCCACCACCGAGAAGATTTTGGGGGATATTCAAAATATGACAGAGCAAGGCCCTGCTCTCATTGAAGATCCTTTGAGAAGGTGGTTAGGAGTGACCTCTCCAGATTCCTCCCAACCTTATTTATTCTGTGATTCAATGTCACATCAGTTTGGGGCCGCTGTGAGAATTCACATGTGCTCTTAAAAATACATAGCTTTCTTTTGAGACTATTTCTAATACTGACTCTATTATTACTAATGTATGTTATGTGAAAAGTTGGAAATTACAGTTATTCCTAGCATCTGATTTACCTGCATAGTTTTCTCAGCCTCTGTGTGAATGCTTGTTAAACGTCTCTCCTTTACTCGTAATAATTAGAAATCAGTGAGAGGAATTCTCTGACTTTTGAGAGTTGAGAGGCAGAATAAAGAGTAACTTTTAAAAACTGTTTCAGTTGCTACCCAAAACAGTGAAAGAAAAAAGACAAAAACAAAATGTTTTTGGCACTTGAATATTTAAGATCTTCTGGAACTCAAAAGCAAATCTCTATCCCTTTAGGCATTCTTTGGAATGGAATTTTATAGGGAAGTGCACAGAATCTTCCATTTTTACAGGACATTTTGTTGAATTAATGGCAAAGCTGAAAG